TTTTCAGCTTTAGGTGAGAGTATTGGTCCTGTCCCTAATTCGAGGGTTTGAATTTCTGTATTGTCCACAGGACTGCTTGGTCCTATAAGTAGTGGTTGCTTTTCGTCGCTCATTTTTATTTACGTGATAATCGATAAATTCCAATGATCACACAGTTTTTCACATCATATATATAATAAGAACTTTCTAATCTTGAGATCTGGTCACGGACTAATAAATATTAGATTTGCTATCCACTAGCGCATAATTTGGTTTCACTTAAATCTCTCAAGTGCTCGATAAATATTATATTTTTTCGTAGCTCAAGACACTGACTGATAAGTGATAAATGACAATGACAATTAACTAGGCATGAGACCGATACATCAAAACATAACTAATAACGTTATGTTATTATTATCATATCGATATACCTAAGTACATAGCCGTTATCACATTTCCAACCAAAACTAACTATCTAACCAACGAAACCGAAAAGCGCTTATTACATTATACAATTTTTAGAAAATCTAATTAGGAACCTAAATTGGAAGCTAGTGATCACATTACACTAAATTTAATTCTAAATCGTGACGAAGCGCATTCGTAAAGAAGTATCGACGGGGTTGCACGTTTGATTGATGGCACCATATTTATCAAAACAGCAGAAAATAGGACTTGCCTTAGCCGTGGTGGGAACAATGGATATTAAAAAAAGAGAAAAGAGTACTTGTCATTGAGAAAAAAACTGTCCAATATGAATATAATTATATATTTTTAGATTCCAAGCAGTTTTTTTATAGGATAGGGTGACAAACTAGCACACAGTCCACCTGATGCTAAGTGGTCACTACGGCCCATGGACATCTACATCTATCTCCGATTACAAATCAAAATGCAGATGCGTTGTCACCTGTGACGACTAAGATGGAATGCCTCGTTTCCAGTAAAAAGGGTCTCCGGTTCTCTACACTCGCCATACGAAACACAGCAACATTAAGCTACTATTTTACGCTGGTATTCTGTGAGAGCTTGGTCCTTCCTCGGTCGAGCCGACCCATTCGTGCTACAACTATACTACCAATATAACTGCAGCATGGCTCTACCACCTATAAAACAGATTGATTATTTGTTAAGTTTGGTATCCAAACATATTGAAAAAAGAAGTCACGATATTTCGATAAAGTGTGAGTGCCAAAGAATGTTTGATGGTGACATTACGTTTTATAGCCACCGGAAATTAATATTAAGATTTAAAGTACTGCTCTCTGATATCAGAACTGCTTCTATCATAACTTCAAGACATCCACTTGTATCAAAGCGCGGGCGCCGACTGATTGTTCTAAATCATAACGTTGCGATTACACTGTCCTAAATTGTAAACAATTTATGAAGTAGAGCGGTCGGGACCTCCAATTTGACTAAATCGGATCCTAACTGTTCTAACTACGATTACACATTCCTACTTCCTAATTAGATTTTCTAAAAATTGTATAATGTAATAAGCGCTAAACGCATAACGCAAACTGTGGAAGGATCGGCCAAAAGCGCTTATTACATTATACAATTATTAGAAAATCTAATTAGGAACCTAAATCGAAGCTAGTGATCACATTACACTAAATTGAATTCTAAATCGTGACAAAGCGTATTCGTAAAGAAGTATCGACGGGGTTGCACGTTTCATCGATGGCGCCGTATTTATCAAAACAGCAGAATATAGGACTTGCCTTAGCCGTGGTGGGAACAATGGATATTAAAAAAAAGAGAAAAGAGTGCTTGTCATTGAGAAAAAACTGTCCAATATGAATATAATTATATATTTTTAGATTCTAAGCAGTTTTTTATAGGATCGGGTGACAAACTAGCACACAGTCCACCAGATGGTAAGTGGTTGCTGCGGCCCATGGACATCTACATCTATCTCCGATTACAAATCAAAATGCAGACGCGTTGTCACCTGTGACGACTAAGATGGAATGCCTCGTTTCCAGTAAAAAGGATCTCCGGTTGTCTACACTCGCTATACGAAACACAGCAACATTAAGCTCCTATTTTACGCTGGTATTCTGTGAGAGCGTGGTCCTTCCTCGATCGAGCCGACCCATTCGTGCTACAACTATACTACTAATATAACTGCAGCATGGCTTTAATGTTTTTCTATTCTTTTCTCTTTTTTAATATCCATTATTCCCACCACGGCTAAGGCAAATCCTATTTTCTGCTGTTTTGATAAATACGGCGCCATCGATAAAACGTGCAACCCCGTCGATACTTCTTTACGAATGCGCTTCGTCACGATTTAGAATTCAATTTAGTGTAATGTGATCACTAGCTTCCAATTTAGGTTCCTAATTAGATTTTCTAAAAATTGTATAATGTAATAAGCGCTTAACGGCTCACGAATTAACCAATGTCCTTTGTTGATATTCCTTGCTTCTCGTTCTTGCAATAACATCATAAATAATATAGAGAGAGATGAAACGAATATGGATTTCGTTGCGATATTTTGGCAGTTATCACTTATAATACAACGATGCACATCGCGAAATATAATTACCTAAAGCAATAAGGTCAAATTTTCAATGGTTAAAATTGCCTAAATTTTAAGTTTGTGTAGTTGTGAGAGTTATCAAATTATAAATAATCTTTAGGTAATTAGGCTTAGATTTGTATGAAAATACTATATTTTGTTTGTTTTGGATGGAAAGTTTTGAATTTGAGTTTTTTTCAAAACGCAACAATTAGTGACTTGACCATGGTGGTGCGTGCCGTCTGCCATTCTCTAATATATTACATAAAAAATAATTTCATTCATCTGCAATATTTTTCTGCATTTTGTACATAAGTTTTAATTCAGAAATTTCTAAGTACGGTGAAAATATAATATAGTTTAAGTATATTTGGACTCTCTCAATCATTTTTGTAAAAAGACTTTCAAAATGTCGCGTGGCTAGTGAAATATGATCTCGCTTTGATAAAAAGACAATTCCGTGTATCTCGATGTTTGTAAATATTGTCAACAAACGTTGTACCTATACATCGGCTACTGTCAACTTAAGTTCTAACTTAAGAAACTATTTTGCTAATCTTAAGCCCAGTCAAGCATGAAGAATAATCGCCAAATTAAATAATCATTATTAAATGAACTACCTGTAATAATCTAAGTAATTCGGAAAATAAATGTTTTGCACTGGTTTGCGCATTCAGTTGCAAACCAATTACCATTGATATCGATATCTGAAAACGGTTTTCAATAACGATACGAAAAATCAATATCGTTTTTTTTAAACTGGCTTAACGGCTCTGGGTTCTAGCCCTTCTGAGAAAAATATAAAAAGTGCTGCCACATTCGAAATTAACAGTTCCTTGTAATTGAAAAAATATCGGTTTAACAATATGGCACCGAGTTGCCCAACGACAACATGCATTTATATCATCAGTAAGACATTTTGAAGAGAATCTTATGAAAAAATTGAGGTGGAATAGTTTTTGGTACTCATGCGCTGATTCCTCCTGGTATAATTTCTCAGTTTATAAAGTATTTTCTTTTATTTATCGACCTTGTCCAGTTTTTTTTTAGTTTGCTTCTGACCAGACGTACTGGAAGATTAGAGGTAAATAGAAGGTCTGACTGTTGTCGCTACATTATGTTGTGTAGTTCTGTGTTGTCTTTATTTGGCTTTGAAAGGCATCAACGTGAGTGTATATTACTTTTGGTTTTTGTAGTAATAATTCTTCGTATTGGTTGTTTAATACCATCCTGTTTGACTGCTAGGTATTCCCGAGGATTCAGATTGCATGCTATAAGTATCTCTTTAATATTATGAAATAGTAAGAAAGTGACATTGTGTATTCTCCTATATAAAAGTGTAACTTTCATAATAACTAACTATTTGGCCTTAAGTTGACCTATGTAGGGTCGTTGCGCTGGTTTTCGGCCATTAAGTGGAATTGTCAACTTTAAGGTACAAGAAAAAATAATTGCCATTATAGTGACCTAGTGATGAATTTGTAGCTTATATAATGTAGTTTTCATTTTTATAACTCATTGATGCTACAAAATAAATACATTTTATAATAATTTTTGACGTGAAAAATATCCAAAATTCAAGTCTTCGGCTCCAAATTTTAGATTTCGACCCACAAGAGTTTTAGTTTTCGGCCACTGTATTAGTGGAGGTAGAACTAACTAACTTAAAAGTGTTTTGTAAAATCAGAAAATGGAAAAATGGTTTAGGAAATCGGTACATATAGTTTCTTCAATCGGTGCTTGCGATTTTTTAACCGTAACATTTTTTTCTTTTTGGGGGTGGTTTTGATATAAATTAATTACCATGTTTAAGCAGTTTTCTTTGAATCACAATCTTTATCTTACAAAATCTTTTAAATAGGGCACTCATTCTCATTATCTGAGTATCTCATATCATCAGTACATCTCAATTCCATTCGTCAGGTCGTCGTGCGGTAATTGTTCGAGTAACATCTATATTTCATTTCTCAGCGGATTTCAACTCAAAGTTGTGGTTAAAAGTGATTATTGAACGTTTAATTTATGACTAAAATACAGCCAGTGAAGTGACTCGTTGATTGGTGAAAACGGTTTATCATTATTTAATGCCGTTCCGGAGTAATAGCCGAATAAAGTTTAAATATTTTTAAAAAACGGCCACGAATCTCACCGGCCGCATAAACAACAAGCGCACTGTCGATGAATCACCGTAGCTACTAATCGACACCAACCGCCGGGCCGTCAGGAGCAGCGACCAGCGAGCAACCGGCACGTGCTGCGTTTAGACAGCCTGGATAGCCGATGTGCTTCATTCAAGCGTCGTTTCGTGCGAGTTGTACTGTCTATACTTTGTTACTTATTTTGTTTTTTGTATTATTGAATCAACATTTATTTTCGAAAAATGTCTTCCAAATGCAATGTATGTGCCAAATGCCGACGGAAAATCCAAGACCGACGTTTCCTTAATTGTACATTATGAAAAATAACATTTGATATCGAGTCTGTGAATATGTCGGAAAAACTGTTTAACCTTATGGATCGGTCACGTAAATCACTGTGGACATGTGAAAAGTGTATTAAGAGAAAAAATAAACCCAGAACTAGCACACCAATTATCAAGTCACATCCACATAAAGTAACTACTGCACCAACTACAAGGAAAAATTCTACTAATAGGAGGTTAGTGACGGTCGCTACGGGTAAAAATAAAACAACCGTTGAGCAAGAGCCTGCTATCAGCATAAAATCTTCATTATCACCGACTCCATCGCAAAATACATCTCTTTGCCAGCATCCGTCACCTATGCTACCAACTAATCTAGAATTGGTCTCCCCGGGTGGAACATCTATGGCAGACGTCTGCACTGCGGGCGTCTCTCTTCACGAAGTATCACCACACCAAGTACCTGACTGTTCCATTTATGTGACTCAAAGCCCGGCAACTAAGAGTTTACCAGATTTCACTTCTGACACTTCAAAATCAATAATTAGAAAATTATGAAAAATGAAATTTTAGAATTAAAGTTAAAACTTGAAGCTACTGAGAATGAAATAGACAATTTAATGTTAGAAAATAAATCAATCGCTATAAAAATAAAAGAACAAGACCAAAAAATAAGAAACCTATTAACTATATACTCAATAACAACTAGCAATAAAAAGAAAAAGAAAATAATAAAAACTACGCAAAGAAGGATAAAGCGAAACAAAAATTATATCATAGCCTGCAAAATCATGATGCAAACAAAAAGTGTATAAACACTACAGAGAAGTAAAAAATTCAGGAGAAACCATTCGTGCTTGAGGCAGAAATTGATCACACAACAGAAACTCAGCTCCAAGAAAAATTTAAATTCTGGTGATAGCTGACCAACAGGGACAAGGCGTACAACAAGCTTTACAACGATTGCTAGATACAAACTATATGGTAACATGCTATTGGAAGGATGGTGCGTGACATCAGGAAGTTCTTAACACCTACAATACAGAACTAAGTAGTCTCACGTCGTACGACTTTGTCGTAGTTACCGGAGGCATGAACGATAACAACCCTTTAAACCTAAAAACCACACCTTTAAAGTGGCTAAATTTGACATGTCACACAAATATTGTTATTTGTGGTCTACCGTGTTATTTATTTTACCATGTAAATTTAAATATATCTCTTAATAGGGAAATAGAACTTACAGGTAAGGGCTTCGCCCATTGTGCTTTTGTAAAACATAGATATAATAGATCTCGCCTAGGCTCTAAATATTTCTTGACAGACTTGTACTTTGGTATATTTCGAGAAATCATACAGTATCTCATCACAAATATAAACTATTATTGGTTAACATACAAGGTCGTGGAAGTGTAATAGACATGCGCGTCGCTATGATTTGCCATTTCGTGTATTCGTTTACTTAAATAATATGAGTTTTAGTGTATTAAAAATGACGAAATTGTAATTTTAGAAATATGATATCATCCCTACTAAAGAAGATATCTACTAAAGAAGATCCAGAGATACAGTGTCTCGAACTGCGCTCGATGACGTCTGTGAAAGTATGCTGGACAATATGAAAGCTCAAATCAAAACAGATATGACTGGACATGCAGCTATTACATTTGATATATGGTCTGATCAGTATAGATATCTAAACTACATAACGTTCACAATTTATTATTTAACCACTGATAAGTAACCTTTACAACATTTGTATTAATAATAAAAATGTTATTCTGACTGACTACTTATTTTATTTTACTTATGTTGCAAATTTTGAGCTCAAATCATTCACGCTGTGCACTAAGTTTATCGAGGGCAAGAAAACTGGCGAGAAAATACAAGCGATGTTAAATGACACATACGAGCACACAGTCCACCTGATGGTAAGTGATTGCTGTGTCCCATAGCCATCTACATCTGTCCTCAATTACAAATCAAAATGCAGATGAGTTGTCACCCGTGAAGACTAAGATAGAATGTCTCGTTGCCAGTAAAAAGGGTCTCCGGTTCCCTACACTCACCATACGAAACACAGCAGCATTAAGCTACTATTTGTGGCTGGTATTCTATGTGAGTGTGGTCCTTCCCCGGTCGAGCCGACCCATTCTTGTTACAAATATATTACTAATATAACTGCAGCATGGCTCTACCACGTATAAAACACCACATAAGAATACTTTGATTTTTAATAAAAAGTAATTCACTCTGTGACGGATGCCGGATGAAATGTTAAACACGCCTTTTCACTTGCCGCTCTGGACAGCCATTTGTGCTTAGGGCATGGACTGCACAACCTGGTGACTATTGATGGTATTGGCAGTGTTCCTGAATTAGAAAACCTAATAAAAATGTAAAAAGATCGTAAAAACTGTTCGATATCGCTTACCGGAAATGGAGCAAGCGGCGGAAAAAGAACAAATTCTATTTTTACAGTCTCTGAAGCGCGTATCAGAACATTTGGAGATGGACGAGAATGAACCAATTATTGATGATGTCAAATAGGAGGGTCAGAGTCAAATTTAAACTAAATTGAAACAGGACTACAAACAAGCGATGAATTTGGTAACATAAATCATGTACCAAGTATTAAAACCTCTGTGCTAACCCGCTGGAATAGTATGCTAGCTATGTTAAAAAGTCTAGCACACTTTTGCAATAGAAATCATGTTAATCACATATTGTCACAGATCAGTCAACATGATTTAAAAATTTACCAGTAAGAGTTGAAGATCTTATTAGATTTTTACGTAAATTCCGTGAGGTCGTGGAAATGCTATCGACACAAAAGACAGCTTCTTTTAATTTGGCCCTGGTGTTTCATTTGGAAATTAGAGCTATCCTCAATTCTTTGTCTGACGAAGAAACACTAATAACCAATCACTGAAAACAAAGATTAGACAAAAGATTCCCAATTGGGTGAAAATCATTTAAATTGACCATTGTGACAAAAATGAAAATGTAACAAAAATGAAACACGTAAAAATAAGCAACAAAAACTAAATATTAGGGTGTTTTCACAATATACACTAGTTATCACTTAGCAACACGAAAATACGCGCCCATTGGCAGCTGGCGAAATTCTTATTGGTCACGTACAAGATTTGTGAAATAAACCACTTTATAATGCTTTTATTATTTTCTTTTATTAACTAAAGGAGATTATAAGAAACATTGTATCTCTTATAAAACTATTTTTTCCTTTTATTATTTAGTTTTATAAAAGGACAGTATTGAGGCTACATGGTGGTACTACTCCAGAGGCGTGGAGCAGAAGTGCGGTGGTCTTGTTCTTTAAGAAAGGCGACAACGCTCTCTTGAAGAACTACAGACCGATTTCCCTTCTGAGCCGCGTCTACGTGCTGTTTTCGAGAGTCATTACGAATCGTCTCGCACGCAGACTTGACGACTTCCAGCCTCCCGAACAAGCCGGTTTCCGAAAAGGCTTCAGTACCATAGACCACATACATACCCTGCGGCAGATTGTACAGAAGACTGAAGAGTACAATCTGCCACTTTGCCTGGCGTATGTGGACTATGAGAAAGCCTTTGATTCCGTCGAAATTTGGGCGGTGCTACAGTCCCTTCAGCGGTGCCAAGTTGACTGTCGGTATATCGAAGTGCTGAAGTGTTTGTACAGTAGGGCTACGATGGCTATCCGAGTACAGAACCAGAGCTCGAAACCTATCCAACTGCAGAGAGGTGTAAGACAGGGTGACGTTATATCCCCGAAACTCTTCACCGCTGCATTGGAAGACGTTTTCAAGCTACTGGACTGGAAAGGATACGGTATTGACATCAATGGCGAGTACATCACTCACCTTCGATTTGCCGACGATATAGTCCTTATGGCAGAATCGCTGGAGGACTTAAGCACTATGCTCAATGACCTCAATAGTGCCTCCCAACGGATAGGTCTTAAGATGAACATGGACAAAACAAAGATCATGTTCAATGTCCATGTCACACCTATGCCGGTAGTTGTTGGGAGCACTATGCTCGAAGTTGCTGACGAATACGTTTACCTGGGACAAATAGTCCGACTAGGTAAGTCCAACTTCGACCGAGAGGTCAATCGACGGATTCAACTCGGCTGGGCAGCGTTCGGGAAATTACGGCATATCTTTTCGTCAGGTATACCTCAATCTCTAAAAACTAGATTGTACAACCAGTGCGTGTTGCCAGTGATGACTTACGGATCTGAGACGTGGTCCTTCACTGCTGGCCGTATGAGGACGCTTAAGGTCGCTCAGCGAACTATGGAGAGGGCTATGCTCGGAGTTTCTCTGCGTGATAGACTCAGAAATGAGGATATCCGCAGTAAAACCAGAGTGACCGACATAGCCCAACGGATTAGTAAGCTGAAGTGGCAATGGGCCGGCCATATAGCTCGAAGAACCGATAACCGATGGGGAAGAAAGGTTCTCGAGTGGCAGCCTCGTACCGGTAGGCGTAGTGTAGGGCGACCCCCCACTAGATGGAGTGACGACCTGGTAAGACATGCAGGAAGTCGATGGATGCAGGTGGCTCAGGACCGTGCTTTGTGGCATTACTTGGGGGAGGCCTATGTTCAGCAGTGGACTTGTGAAGGGCTGTAATGATGATGATGATGACATAAAAGCTATGATGACTTTTTAATATAATAACTACATTTAAAAAAAATATTAAGGATATCAAAATAATTACAATAGAAACTAAAAATATCCAGACATTATATCTATTTACTGTCGTCATGAACACAATGAAACACTTATTATCGAAATAATAACACTTTATGGAACTATAGAGGTATCAAAAACTATTTAACAAAATAACAATATGAAACACTATTCACTTTCACTTGAACAAGAAAAATAATATTTTTTCTTTAATGATACAGAATTGGTTGTTGAACTTTCAAGCATTTCCGGAAAATCTACTTTGAGGTCACTAGAAGACACATTTTGCTTTTTTATATTGCTAATCATTTTCCTTAAATCACTAATTGAATAATTTACTTTAACATCGGATAATATAGTCACAGCTTCCGCATTTTTTATTTTTTTCCAGTTATTTTTATGCTGATGATCAACATTTTCTTTATTTGTCTCGGCGGCATAGATATGGTCTGCAACCACAGGCGTCATCATTTGCGTTGGATTGCTCAGCACTTTACGCTTAGAAGTTTCAGTAGTAAAAATTACGTGGCAAATCGAAAATATCTGAGGAGTCTGAATCACAGTCAATAGTACCAAAAATATCGAGTGGTACAGTTGGCATATTTTTTTGAAGAAACGGGTGGTGTTCTCGGACTTGGAGATAGCATTAGACGTGTTGGTGGTATGTACTGCTCTTTTAAACGGTAAAGGCAGACAGTCATCTGAATCGGATGTTAGCCGAGTTCGCTTTCTGTGGCGAGGTTTTAGCACACAATTTCTTTTAATGTTGAAACAGTCGCAAAAACCTCTCATGCTTGAGCCGTTACAAAAACAACTTAAAACTCGGTAATTTATTTCATTAGAGTTGTTTTCTGT